TACAAAAAAAATTGCAATTATAAGCCCTGCAAGCTGATTTCAAAATTATCGGGTGTGTGGTATCAAAACAGTGATTATGTGCTACTTGAACAGTAGATAAGGGTTAATAGGATTCATTAAAGGGGTTATTAACCCTTAAAAGGTTAATAATCCTTGAAATAAAGGCTGAAAAATCTAGCATATAATTCATGTTAGATCTGAGGTTAGTTATTGCTTAGTCTGATGAAGTGATAAACAATAATCCAGTCAAAGAGTAAAGAGGGGCTTTGAAAATACCTATTAATCAACAGTAAAAGTGCTCAAATAGGCTCAAATAGCGCTGCAAAATGAACCATTTTCTTTGTATTTTCTCAATACTATGTTAGCTTTCTTTTTACTTGATTTTTATCACACTTTGAGCTACATTTTCACATGTTTATAATAAGTCTTCATTATTTTACAATCTCTATAAAGTGGGTTTAATTTCGTTAATTTTGCTGGCAATATTTCAGTTTGAAGGTGGTACTTACTATCGTTCTCATTTAATAATATGTGGCATAAAGTAATAGGACATGAGGAATACAATTATATAATGTAAAAGAATAATTTGACTATTATGCCTTACTATTAGTGTTGTTATTTGTTAGAATTGTTGTATTTCTCACCAACATACCATATAATCGTTTTTTCTAGTGAAAGTGTGTGTTAGTGATGTGAATTCATTCATACATATTTATTTGGCAAGATTGTTTCTATGCTTTGAAGTTGTTGCATAGATAAAGGCTTGACATTTAACAATGATAACAGTCATATTCAGGATAACTGTCATCGCAGTAAAAAAATACATTCAAAGGATGAACAAAGTCACAAGATTGTCGCACATATGAAGCTAATAAAGTTCTGGCGGAAACGGAAGTGGCTTTTTGATATCTCGTATCTCAGTGGTAGCATCTCACAATAAAACTCGTTTATTCGTTATTCGTTATTCGTTGTTATTTTGTTAAAAGCAATTGTTGCTACAAACAAAGTGGATAATGCAAAAAAAATTATTATTAAATGAAACAAATTTAACGAGCATTTACGACATAATCGTTTGAATCAAGTTTCTCGCATTTGAAAATTTCATAAAAATAATACCGCTGTGCTTTACTTTGGGTTATATGAGAGCTATTTTATGTAATATGTGAAATTATCCTTTGAAATAAGGAAGTATTTTTCCAAGTAAACTATTTGACTTTAGATTTATTTCCTTTGTACACCAAGCGCTGCTCTTGTGAATGCATGAGCTTCATTCACAGCTACTTTCCCGCGTTATTAGCAGCTTTAGTTGCATATAACCACTGGAGCCAGTTCAACGTGTACCAGTTAGTATTATTCTTACATTTTCTTTGAAAGCTCCATTGTGTTAATAGTACTTCTTCTGGCAGCGCCTGAAAGTTGGTGCTTATGCGTTTATGTTCATATTACGACAGGCATCAACAAATCCGATTACATACTACAATGAGTTCGTTTCCAAAGTATTGGATTACTCATAACAACAGAAACGTATTATTCTGCCATGAAATCGTACTTTACATTATAAAAGCTCTCGTTTATGCCAAGACGACAATATCATTTAATAGCAATATTATTCTGAATGAATGTGGATTTAAAAAATTATAGTATTTCCTAGATAAAAGAACAAATGTAACACATTGCGAATTGCAATAATTCTTCGTTAGTACATATTTTCTATATATAAACACACAGTTTTTACTAGCTATAAATTCAATTTATAATTATACAATAAAAAAGATACATTTGGAATATTTTGCCTCACCCATTAGTGTTGTTATTTATTAAAATTACTCTATTTCACTATAATCGCATTTTTCGGTAAAATTGTATGTGCTTTTTTATTCTAATGAAAATTACATTACTTAACCCAGAGCTCTCCAAAGTACGACCCATGGACCTCATAAGGCTTGCCGCTAACATTTATGCGGTCTGCGACATGTTTCTAATCTCTAACATAATTTAACATAATTCTAACATAATAATTTCTAACATAATTAGACAAATCTTTCTTTGATATATTTAAGTAACATAACATTATTTTATTTGTGTGGTATACTAGATTTAGATAAGATTTTAAATGGGTTGGGAACTTGTCTATACCCACTTTAGTTCCATAGACGAGTTGTAGTTAAAAACGCCATTATGTCCTTGGGAGAGTTAAATTTACCATAGATTTTAAAAAACAGTTTGAGAAGTTGTCACCACGTCACTGCATTCTTTGAGAATTATTGTGACATAACCACTTTAATTACATAGACGTGTAGAAGTAAAGAACGTCATTATGTCCTTTGAAGAGATATTGCCTAATTCCGTTATAAATGGATAGACAGTTGATAAGTTCAGAAGTCTGAGTCTGGAGAGGCTATCACAGTGATACGAATGTGTTCTGCAGTTTCCTCTTCCTCGCAACAGAGTCTGCAGCTATCGTCTCTAGTAATACCTAGGTTCGGTAGATGTTTTTTAACTCCGCAATGCCCAGTGAAAAACCCTGTTCAGCTTAATTAGCTCCCTAATTCTGTCTTTTGATCGATACGGCATGCATGCTTTTACTAGTCTGCAGGCAATTGTATTCATTATCCCAATCAGTCTGAGCTGCACTTTCCAGTCATTTATTAATTTTTATTCTTCTACTTCTTTAGTCCTTCCTCCTTTTAAGTATTCACTAAAATCTGTGGATGTAAAAGACTTATATTAAAAAAATACGCTCTCATATCGGGGATATAGTTGAGACTCTAACTTTTCGAAATTATTTAGTGCAGTTATCGCTTATCAAACAGACTTAGTATATTTTCAACTACCAAGTATATTTTTATATTCTGTACTTATTTTATTTCTTCTGGAATATTCTGGAATAATGTCAAATTTAACTTTAACTTAGTTTAGCTCAACTTTTCTTTCAATGCTTCAATTTTAATTTTAGATAATCTTAATTTAGTACTCAGATGTGAAAGATTAAAAGTATTAAAATCTCTCGTATAATAAGGAAAATGCAAAATTGTGTATTGTTAATAAAATTATAATTTATTTACTTACTTATGTTGAAATGAAAAAAGGTTCACATGAAAATCTAAGTACATTTAAGTATTCAATTTTGTGAAAGTCAACAACGACGAGGGTTGCTTCGAACTGCAGTCGAACGCTTTTCAACTCTAATTCATGTTTGTTTTCCTCCTTAAATATCCTTTTTTGTTTCTGATATTTCGTTTATGTGTGCAATTGTACGAGTGTTACGGTGTACGTAAGATTGCCAAGCTTTGTGAAATAATAAATTTTGTTTTCCCCCGGTTTCGAAATAAATTTATGCATAAATTACATGAGCAGTGGAAAGTTTTGTGTGTCATAAAATAAATTACATTTGGAAGACTTAAAAAGTTTAATGCAAAAATTTGTTTTGGAATTAAAAAGGATTAAAAAAGAATACTAAATGCTAAATTTAATAAAAAGTAATTTCTATTTATGCATTATTTTTCATATTGGAAAAGCGTCTGAATAATGAATTTATAATTTTTTAACATTTTCGCAACGCAATAAATTTAAAATTAAATTATTTTTAAAATTTCATTAAAATCCTTTATTGAGTTTTTATATTAAAAGATTTTTTTTTAAAAATAATTACAAACACTGTTCAATGTATGGATCATTCGTTTACAAACGGGACGAATTTTGACAAAAATTGAGTTCATCACATCCGATATATAAAGAGGATTTTCGAACAGTAGTGAACTACAACAACAAAAATTAATTTTATACTATTTTAATTAAATGAATTTCTGCGTAACCATAAAAGACACGACTTCTATTCCAAGTATTTGCAGTCTCAAAAAAAATATTTACGAATAATTAAATACGAGAATTATTTCCAAGACCACTGATGATGGGTATTTGGCAATATTCGAAACAGCTGTATGGTCAGCCAAAAACTTAAATAATTAAAATAATATAAAATGAATTTTTGTTGTTGTAGTTCACTACTGTTCGAAAAACCTCTACGAAATGCACTAGTTTCTATCTGAAAAATTTGACATTAAATTACAACTTATATTAACACATATAATACAAAAAAAAGACTCATCTCGGGAAAAGTTTATACATTTTTTTTTACCTTGACAAATGCTTAATTTGGCGGAAACATATGGAAACAAAAAGGACTCAAATAAAGCTCAAGGCTATAAGCCTTCGCTGACTAATCGGACATCAGTCTTCCTTATGTTTAAAGTACAAAGTCTTGTTGTACAACCAAGTCATTTGGCCAATCTGAATGTATGGCTTAGAGCTATGTGATAATTCCTGTTCGTCAAACGTAGAAATCCTGCAAAAAGTTCAACCAAAGATCTTAAGAATGATAACTGGTGCACCCTGGTATATCAGAAATGAAAACATACATTTCGATTTGGAAGCTCCAATGATTAAAGTCTACCTTGAGAGAATAAGGCAGAAACATTATTCAAATCTTAAAAATCATGTTCCCTAATGCGTTTGTTTACAGTTTAGCTATTGTTTATTTACATTTTTAATAAAAAACATATGACACTCATATTAAATTTCGGAAATTTCCCTTCTGGGAAATTTATTTTTAAGTATTGCATTCGACAATTTCCGTCTTAATTAAGCTATTTTATTGATAATGAGCTCATTTATATGTAATATTTTCGTATGGTGAATCATTCTCAATAGTTATAATGAGAAAAACCGCTATAATGAGCAAAACCGCCTAAATGAGACAGTGTGAATATGCTATTAAGCTTAGTTACATTATTTATCTACTTATTATCTATTAATATTTAATATATCTGTTAATATGTAATTTAAATTAATGATTTTAATTATATGAGTTTTCGTATAGTTTCATTTACTTTTTGTATTTTGAGATTTCAAATTAAAAACTTTGCATTGAAATTTATTAACTTCTTTTTAAAAATACAATTTTCTTGAGTAAAATTTTTATTCACAACAAATATCTGTTTCAATTTTTTGTACAAAATTAAATACATTTTATTAAATTTACCTATATAGTATATTAGCCATGGCTGTGCCCCCTTTAAGTGAAATTATTAAAGAATCAATTAAAGAGTCGCCGGGACGTGTATATTTTTTATTTGTGGTTTTTATTTTAATAATTCTTTTATTTTGCTATGTTGTGTTTTATAAATGTGTAAATTATAGAGTAAGTAAAAATCTGTGTATAATTGCAAAAATATAAAAAAATAATGTTGAATTTTACTTTTTAATATTTTATATTAACTTTTATACATTTTATTTTAAGCGAAGACTCCGGTTGTTAGCGAGAGGCGTCCGTTACGAGGACGATATCGGACCTTTCGCTAAACATGTGCAACGACGTCTGGTGAGACGTCGTAACTAAGTAGTCTTAAATAATATAACTGACGGGGTGGAGTGGGTCAGTGTGATTAGTGGGTGGGATTAAATGGGGATGGTGAACATGATGACGTGGGAAAGGGAAATACTGTGGACAACTTTATACGATCCTGTTAGTATAGCTAATATACTCAAAGTTATCATTAAACTTTTGCAAATTAAGCAGTTTCTCTTTTTTAAAGAAAAACCAAAAAGCAGAATAGACATTAAGGTAAGATTATTATAAAGTCAGTGATCGAATTAGCATATTTCAAATTAATCAACTGTTTTTGTTCTTATTCAGACCATTAATGCAAGAAAGTCCTATTTCATTCTACTGCATTCAAATAAAAAGATAACATGAGGGATACGGACTCTGTTGCGTCATACTATAGCCTCTCGAATCAACTGTCAATCTCTGCCTTCACCTGCGTCTACTCAAATCAAACAACTCGAGTTTTCACACGAAGTGACAACCGGTCACCTAATAAGTTGACGGAACAGAAAAGAAAAGGGACACGATTTGGAATATGGAATGTTCGTACATTTGAATTAGTTAATTTGATTTAGTGTGTATCATATCTTTTTATGCCAAAGAATGGAAAAAAATTTGAGCTTCTAATAAAATAGATCACAATTGCTTTATGGACCTTCATTGAGACTAAGTAAGTGTTAGAAGATTTTTAGTATTGCAATAGAACTATGCATATTTTTATCAAATATCCATAAAAAATAATGTTTACATTGCTTTTTAATATTTTTTAGGTGTAACCTATCTACACTTTACTTACAAACCACCTTGGAAGAGCAGCATCACCATAACACTATTCAAGCGATAATGTATTGAGCAATTTTTTCCACTACATTTCATTTCACCACAAACTTGGAAAATTCTTGGAAAATAATAGCAGTATTAACCACATCTAGTTCGTCACATTGCATATAGCGTACTTGAGAAATGGATTGAAAGTCACCAAAACCCGTTGATAAACCAGAAATATCAGAATCTCCCCACTGCACCTGTTTTTATTTTTAATTTAATTGAATGTTAAATAAAATCTTCAAGTTTTTAAAATATGTGAGCAATAAAGTATTAAATATAGCGAAAAAATCTAACACTCTTACTCTGATGACATGATCAATTCATTAATATAGAATCATTGCAAAGCTCGTAAGCTTCTGAAGTTACAATTTTGATCCTTAAGAACTAACATTTATGTGACAAATCAACAATAACTCACATTAGGATTGATAAAATGCTTGTGTAAGTAATAATTGTATTTAAAAAATTATAATTTGGATATTATAACACTGGATATTACTAAACTACCACCTTACGAGAATGGGCATACATTCGGATGCAAACTGTAGATTCTGTGAAGAGAATGAGTAGTCGGCTGTTAGAATGACCTGCGCTAATGCACATATGGAATAGGCTCCTGGAAATGTAAATTCTTACGGAAAAGGCAATAAAACTCTGTAAAGTGAGTTCTATACTACTTTTTATTGACGCAACAGGCCTTAGAGACCTATGTTCGCAGTGCCACAGCCCCCTAACAACAGTAATAACATTATTAGTTGACATAAGAATCTTTTGGTAATCAGAAGATTATATTCCTATTTCCTAACTTCCTATTTTGATTTTCGAGAATCTACTGTATATTAAAATATATTCCTTTTATAATTCACATTTTTAAGAATAGAATTTTATTTTATATATGTTATCAGTTCCATTACTTAATAGTCGAATACACTAAAAAAAAAAAACACTCATTAAAATTATATTTTTACTAACTTTGTGTTAAGTATTGTAAATGTGTGAAACGTCTTGCAAAACCTATTATCCTGGAAATAAAGTCATTTATATAGCAGCAATTAAAATAGCGCTGCAGTCCTTTTAATTATTTTTCTCTCTTCTAGAGGCGTTGCTTGTAAATTCTCATGAAAAGGAATTCAAATTTTTGTCCCCGGAAATTCTAAGCTAAATAGATGACAACTCAGAATAATTAAAATAAGTGTCAGTCCAAAAATTCGTTGCCTGTCAACGAGATGTGCTCTTGCAATAAATGCATTTCTTGAAAGCATTTAACAGCAGTTGGGCTGCAGCCAAGTTTTGTTAAATAAAAACGAAATGTACGACGTTTGCGACATTGTAGAATTATGGTCTAACTTTAATGAGTCAATTAATTTTGATGTGCTCCATTTCAATCTCATAAAAATGTCTGTTTTATTGAATTAGTTTCTCAATATTTTTTTTATTAAACATAGTTATAAAATTTAAAAAACACAAAATCATAAATACTTATTTGATGTCGATGTGTAAGATGATAGAGAAGAGTTAAACATAATATATATCTTAAGTATATACCCCAGCGTTGACACGAAGTTGCTTAAAATGCTTACGGACTCTAATATTTAAGAAGTTGAATATGTTTTATGCATTTCTTCAGCTGCAAAAAATTACCATCCTACACTTAACTATTATACGTTCATACAATCGTATCTATTGAAAACACTCTTTTATGTGAACAACGAGAATGAAATGTCTTCTTTACATAATATTAAAACTGGACTACCACAAGACACTCCAACCCTTTATCTGCTTTTCACATACGATTTACTGAAGACGACAGGAATTCTAACTGGTACATTTGCAGATGGCACAGCTATCCTGGGAAGTGCCAGCGATCCCTCTGTAGTCTCTTTCAAACTATAAGCTGGTCTTGATCATATATCAACAAAATGGTTGAAGCATGGGCGCATGAAAGCAAATAAAACAAAATCTATTCATCTCAAATTCAGAATGGGAAGAGACACCTGTCCAGAAATTAAACTTAATAATATAATAATTCTGCAATCAAACAACGCAAAATACTTGGGCATGCACTTTTTAACAAATGAAAATCCCTTCAGATCCAATACCAAAAAATGTTTTGGCTACTGATTAAACAATCTTCAGTATCCCTAAAATATAAACTTGTTTTATACAAAAGTGTGCTAAAACCAGTATGGACCTACGGCATTAAAATATGGATAATAGCCTCATCGTCCAACATCGAAATTCTTCAAAGATTTCAGTCTCTACGAGAAATAGTAAACGCTAAATGGTATGTAACTAACATTCAAATCTATCGGAACCGTAAAATATTCCCGGTAAAAAACGAAGTAAAAAAGGTAGCTAGAAAATACCATGAATGAATACAAATTCGTCCCAACACTCTTGCTTCGAATTTGATGTCCTCCGCATAAGTTTTTACGAGACTGAAAAGGAAAACGCTGCTTTAGATATTATAATAAAATATTAATTTAAAAAGAAAAGAGTAGTTCTCTAAATTTCATATTGAGAAGAACAAAATTAATGCAATGCAGAACACTGCCTTCGATTCAAAGGAAATTGTTTACAATGAATTTGCTCGACGAAAAAATCATGTCGAGGCTTTGCGGCTTTGTGAATATAGAATACTGCCTTGGAGTGCCAGGCAGTTGATGTTTATAACACAATAATACAACATCACATAAAGCCATTAAAATATAAAATAATTTACATTTTTTTGAGATTAATCTCATCGGATCCGGAATAGGTTTTAAAACATCTTATAGTTTAGTGAGCGTTTGCTTTACGTTGGGAAGCAGACGTTAAAATATTGTTTGTTAATAGCTTCTTCAATGAGAAGCTCTTTTCTTGGGGGTGCCAAAATAAACTAAATGAAAGCATAATTTGGAAAACAACCCTTGAATACAAGTGAACTTTAACTATAAATGGAAAGTTTTCCTAGTTAAAATAAAGAAAGTAATTGTTCATTTATTAGGTGGCGATATATAAGTGAAAAGCATATGATGTTGTCTTGACTAATATGTTACCGCCATCTAACGAGCAAGTTAACTAGTTTGTAACTTTCATGTAATTTCAAGCTTTTTAAACCAATTTGAAAAGAAATGGATTAAAGTTATACTAAATTTTTAGTGTGCGTACTCATATCTAGTACAATAACTTCTCATTTTGTACTAAAGTACAATAAATTCAAGCTTTTCTGCAAGTTTCCTGAAAAATTCCAAAATCTTGGAAACATTCCTATTGCTAACAAGCTGACGTCTATTGTAACTAGGAAAACTTTTCATTAATAGTTAAAATTCGCATGTATTCGAAAGTTTTTTATTCAGCTTTTGATTTTGTGATTTATAATGTCTTTTAAAGTAGATTATTCAGACAGCTTAACTTAACTCTTGGCTATAAAACTCTATTCCTTGGAACTGCGAAATGCTAGTATAAAACGCTTGAATATATTCGCCGTTTTCTTAACGCGAGATAGCGTACAAGATCTGCAAATACCTCCGAAATAATTGACGATGTGCATAAACTGATAAAGCTAAATTATAATAGCTGAACTGGCTAGCTGACATCACTCTTATCTGGATCTGAACACATGAATATTGTGGAAATTAGAAATCAAACCGCTTAGCTCGCCTTGGTGCATTCCTATATGTGTTCCTAGGAATAACTGTCAATGTTAACATGGAGACCATTAAGAGAAGCAAATACGTCTACTTTTTGCCAATAGCATATAGCATTTGCAACTTTCCAGTTAACATGATCTTATAATAACACTAGATCTTGGGAACTTATCCAGAGGGATCAAGTGAATACTGTAAGGCTTAGTGCAGTCCTCTCTGGTAATTGGTAAATAGAAACTCAGACAGAGAAACTACATATTTCCTTATAATACTCATTGCAGAAGTTGTGAAAACATGTAAGAAATAGAAACCAATAAACCAACTTCCCCGTGAATGCATGGTTTTGGCATCTAGAAGAAATGGGTTCTTAGGGATGTAACTTTTTTACGTGATGAACAGATAATTCATCAAGAAAGACGAAATACATGTTAAATGATCTAAATTCGACGGAATGGATTTAATCTGAATCATGCTAGAAATGTACAGGTTCTCGTTGAACAACTCGACAAAAGCTGACAAATATACTAGCGTTATTGGTACAAAAAAATACTTAAAAAATAAAATGATATGTCTTATAACATATTTTCTCTATCTCCTTTAAGGAGGCCGCTTATGAGGATAATTTATCATACAATGAGCTTTCACATAAATGAGCTCATTATTAATAAATTAACTCATTTAGGACGAAAAATATTGAAACCTTAAACCCTTAAAAATAAATTTCCAACTAGGTAAGTAACCAAGACCAAGATAATATGTAAATATGTAAAATGTAAATAAACAAGCTTTTTAACATACATAAGTCAGCTTCTTAAGCATTCTCTCTTGATCCAAAACTTGAAAAGGTATAGCATATACATATTTGCAAGGATATATACACTTTATATATATATATATAAAAGGAAATATATATTCAGAAGTAAGAGAAATATATTTTAATAAAATAAATCATATTATTTTCGATGAGCAAGATTTTCTTCCTTACGAAAAAATCACAACAAATTTAATGTAACAAACTTTATTAAATAAAATTAATTAAAAATTCGAATTTTCCTATTATTTAAAAAACTTGAACTATATAAATGTATTGTGAAATATATATTAATCAAACGTTATATCTAAATTTTTTAGTCTTTTTTTAAAAAATATTCTGTATCTTGCATGTATGACGAATTTTTTAACAATTTAGAAAATTCGATGCCATCAACAAATCAACTGCAATCTCCGGTTCCAAAGGAAAATCAGGAACATCAGTCATGCTATTTTCATAGTTAATCTTGTACTGGAAATATATGCAAACCTTTTGCATAATATGAGACCTGGAAAATTATAAAAAATCCGTATATCATGGTTATAAAATAGTTATTGTACACTGAAAAAATTATGAGTTGTTAAAATAACATTTTTTCTTATTTGACGAAAAAGTTTTTGATGTAACAAATAAGTTGTTGCTTTAACAATTATTTACTTGTGGTAACAATTTTTTTAATAAAGAAGTTTGTTGACATTACAATAGAAAATTTATTGATGACCCTTTAACAAAAAAAGTTGTTCCTTTAACATTTTTTCTGTTCTCCGAACAATTTTGTTATTTAATTGAAGGGACAAATAAGAAATTGTATTGGCAAGTATTTTATTGTTAAATTAAAAATGTAACGATTGTTTTATCAAGAAGAAGAAATTGTAATATTAAATAAGAAAATTGTTAACACATAGTTCGAGCATCTTATTTGTTTTTGTAATGCTCTTCTCTATTGTAATTCTAACTGCCGAAACAGATAAGAGAGTATGATATGATGCGATTTCGCTCTTTTTCTTTATTCACACTCTTTGTTGTGACATTCAATTAAAGAAAAATTGCAGCATTTTGCATAGAACTATTGTTTTTGTTGTTTTTTGTGCATCTCTCTGATGTAGAGTCAGTGAAAGAAACAAAAGGAACAGAAAATTATTTTGCGTGCATCATTCAAGTTGTGAACAATTTTGCGATCAGTATATACAATGTACGCGTTAAAATGTTATTAAATTCACACGTTTGTTAATTTGAATAAAAAATATATTAAATAAAAATATAAAATAAATAATATATAATAAATATAAATAATGTTAAGTGTCGTGCAATAGAAAATTTACAAGTTGCTAAAAAATTTTTTGCAAACTGGCGTCATAGCCGTGCATGTCGGCACACGTTTAGTTAATGTACATCAATACATATATTGCATACAAATTTCTTTTTGTTTGCTTGATTAAAAACATATTTATAATATTTGTAAAGCTATTTGTATATGTAGAACTTTTAATATTATGTGTTTCGAATATAGTACTTTATTTTATCAAATTATCACAAAATTAAAAAATAAACATGAATAACTCTTATTCGAATGAATGCTTGTTTTCCGAAAATATTGATATTTTGGAAGTAAGCCCTGAAATATCATTATTATTTGAAAAATGGGAGCTATCGTCTGGTGCTATATGTAGACTTGTGAATTTAAAAATAATTAGTATCGATATTTTTAAAATGATGCATTCTCATGATATCGATGAAATTTTTAATGACGAACAACTATTGATAAAATAAGGTTTAGACACGGACTTTCACTGTGGCGTTTCGAAAATAATGTAAGTTATTTTTATAATTTCGTACAATATAATATATTAGTATTTTAATTTCAGCTTGATCCAATCATTTGTTGCCCAAATTTTCAAGAATCTCAATATAATAACAGAAAAACGCTACCATTAAATATAATTAATGAAAGCTGTAATGTTCCAGTTATCCAATCTAATATAGATATAAAAAGTATTCTTATTAACACTGTGGCCGGTAAAGATATTATTGAAAAATATAACACTACAAAATATTTAAGTGATACTGATCAAAATGCTATTGTCAAAATAATAGCTGACCATTTTATATTAAATACTATAAAAATGGATCCAAAAGTAATGATAAAAATTGCTCAGTCTATTACATACTTGTTTCCAACAGAAAATGCATTGACATATTTCGTTCCACGTACCAGTAAAAAAAACCCATCTGGTAAATTATATGATAGATATTGCAACTGTTTGTATAAGCGAAAAACTCTACCCGATGATCATGTCAAGAAAATCCAAATTAATGTTGAAGCTGAAATTTCTGCAGAAAATGGTGATGTTGAATTTGAGAAGAGAAAAAAATGGCTTTATTGGAACACACCAAATGATATAATGACTCCGTGGAAGGAGACTTCAGTTAAACGAATGAAGGAGCATAAAGAATCAATACAGCAGTTTCTTGATCAATGGCCGAGATACGGCGATTGTAATGGTCACGATTTAATTGATATTGACTTTTCAACCCTCTATCCTGGCAAAGAAATGATAATGTTTGAAAAAATAGAGGACTTGGTGCAGAAAGTGACTAAACTATTTTTTCCGTCGTCTATAAAAGATAAACTAAATCAGCAATATTTTAAAAAAATGAAAGTAGCAAGTGATATAAGTATGGAGTAATATTATATATCTGATATTTTTTAAAATAACGAATATTTTTCTAGATTGCAAGCACTTTTATTTTTTCAACTTACTACATGCTATTATTTTACCTCCACGGATCAGTAAAATAAGTAAGCCATCTATAACGGACGCGCAAGAAGATATGATAACACATATTTTTAATATTAATAATTATCAACAAAAAGTGGATGAACTCAAGGAGTTAGCCTTAAGAGAAGGACTAACGTTTCAGCCGAAGGTTTTTGTTGTTGGTAATTCTTCAGAAACTTTAAAAGAATTTTATATGAATTTAAATAATATTCAGTATAAAGTAGGAAGTGTACTTAGTGCATTAGATTTAGTTATGAAAATATGTTTTGTATTTAATTTAGATTTTTCATTTAAAAGCAAATATGTGTGGATCTTTTTACAGATGTGTGTTTACGAAAAACCTTCAAAAGAAAAAATTTCAAAAATTGAAAATATTCTATGTAAACTTAGACATGCCATTTGAAAGTTTTAAAGAAAAATCCACACATATTTGCTTTATTTGTAAAACTATTTTTAGCTTGTCGCATTATTTAATAACTCTCTTAAAAAGTATTCATAAAGTACCTACAACCTACAAGTATATATGTCTTTACGACAAATGTAATAAACATTTTCAAAATTTGTATAAGTTTAGGAATCATATTCGAAGACATGATGTCAATTCACCTCTTGATATAAGTTGTATTTCATTGCCAAAAACTTTAAGAACTAATGAACTTGAAAGCCTAGCTAAAAATTCAATAAATAATGAAGAAGAGGATATTCAAGATGACAGTATCGTAAATAATGTGAAGTCTATTTCACCAGGTAACTATACTATTGACATCGTTCAAATTAAAAAATTAATAGAAATGGATATATTAAGATTTGCTTTAAAATTGCACTCAAAAATCAACTTCAATCGAAAAGACATTCCTGAATTTCAAACGTTTATTGTGGAGCATATAATTGAACCGATATTAAAGGGTTTTGAGATTTTTCACCAATTTATTCAACATGAAAAAAGGGAACTATTTAATGAATTAATGTTATATTCTAGAAATCCTTTTAAGGATATATTCTCTGAATTCATGTTAATAAAAAAGTTAGAAACATTAAATTTATACAAGCACCCCAAGTTATTTACAATATCTAAACAATTAGATGAAGTTGTTGTTCGTGGTTATCCAACATTAAAAGAAAATATAATTGAAGGTTGCCTTTGTAATATAAAACATCAACTTAAAAAGTTTTTTGAATCACCAAATGTTTTGAAGGCGACTTTACAAAATATTGAAAGTATCAAATCGTGTAATAGGCTTAATCACTTTATAAATGGAAATCTATGGAAAAGTAAAATTAGTCAATTTAATAATGAAATGTTTCCATTATTTCTTTATTTTGATTCTTTTCAAATAAATAACCCTCTTGGGGGCCATCAGTATTCAGTTTGTGGTATATATTTTTCAGTTCCAGTAATTCCACAAAACCAGTTATCTCATCAAAGCACCATTTTTGTTGCGGGTTTTGTTAACGCAAAAGATTTATCACACTTTGGTAATCACCAAACTCTCAAATACCTTATTGATGCCATTAAAGATCTAAGTACAAATGGAATTGACATTAGCATAGATGGAACCATTACCACTATTTACTTTTGTATAGGTCAAATTTTAGGGGATAACTTAGGTTTAAACGAAGTTTTAGGTTTTAATAGTAAATATTTTTGTAGATTTTGTTCAGCTTCAAAAGAACACTGTCAAACAACATTTGTCGAAATTGAAGAAAATATTCGCAATAAAAGCAGGTATAAATCAGAAATAGAAAACCTTCAAATGAATGGGGAAGAAATATCTACCGTTAGAGAAGACTCTATATGGAATACAGTTCCCTTCTTTCATGTTACTGACAACAAAATGTGCGATATTATGCACGATATATTTCTTGGAGTCGCAAAATATAATATACATAAAATCTTAAATTATTTCATATACGAAAAGAAGTTTTTTACTTTGGAATCTTTTAATTATAGGAAACAAATGTTTGAATATGGGCCTACAAACACGAGAAATATAAGTCCACCATTTACAAAAATGCAACTAAAAAATTGTAATATAAAAATGAATGCATCTGAAATGAAACTTTTCTTGCATTGTGTCCTATTAATAATTGGAGATTTAATTGATGAATCGGATATTGTATATGAGTTTTTAGTAACTTTCGTGGAAATTGTAGACATCGTTTTATTAGAAGAATTTGACGAAGCAATTTTAAAAAAATTACAGCTTTTGATCGCTAAACATAACAAATTTTTTGTTGAATATTTTGGTGAAAAATTAAAACCGAAATATCACTTCATGGTTCATTATATTTCTGCAATAAAATCCGTGGGTCCACTCAGGCATTTGTGGTGTTTTAGATTTGAAGGAAAGCACGCATTTTTCAAAAAATATGCAAATGTTATTACTTCAAGGAAAAACATTCCATACACATTAGCTATAAAGCATTCCCTCCCTTACATTTGCATCAAATACATTAGAAAATAATTTCTTTCAAAAGGATATATCTGATCTTAAAGAAGTTGCACAAGTTGATCTAACTCAGTTCAATTTTTATACAAACTTATGCACAAACTTTACTATTGAGTATGAAGTCAATAGCTTATCTTACAAGGGTATAATATATGAAAAAGGTAGTTACGTACGATGGAACAATATTATATGTATTATAATAACAATATTTTATGAATCGACTAATGACTTTTATGTGATAGGTCAAGAAATTAATACTGTTTTTTCAAATAAATTTCAATCCTACAAATTTTTAAACAAATGTAATTGTTATTATATTAAATTAATTAGTGAAGTTTCTTATCCTATTAAACAATGTACATTAAATAATGGAGAGGTTATGTTAAGATTTTAAAATAATTTGCTTAAGAGTAAGAAATTTCTTATCTATTATCTAATACCTAATGTATCTTATGTAATAAATTATCTAATATAAATTAAATCTGTGTACAATTCTTTAGGTATTAACAAAATAAAACATTTATACATACAACTACTGTGTTATATCTTATTTTTGATTTAGTATCTTAATTTAACGTAACATATTACGACGACAATTTATTTAGTAGAATTAACAAATTTTTACTGTAAAAACAAAGGTTAAAATTCTTGAAATGACAAATAAATTGTTATTTAGTCAAAAACGATTAATTGTTATTTTAAATAATAATCTTGTTATGGTAACAATTTCGTCAAAAATGTTTACATTGTTGTGAGAACTGCTAGACATTGTTGGGTACAATATGACTCAGAAAAATACTTGAAACAAAAGTCAAAATTGTTGATATTACAACTTTTTTTTTTCAGTGTATATCAAGAAAATAGTTTATATTGAAATTTGTATCAAACGTTTTAACTTTATGTATACATATATATTATACAAGTATATAACACATATGTCTCATATCTGCTTCAAAATTAACAACTCTTTAAAGTTGTCTGTCTTTGAGTAAAAACCATCTACTTATACTAATAAGTTTGGTAGATCCTTAATAGATCTGGACGATATTCTCTGTGTTGTGAATTAATGTCAAATAACAGTTAAGTCCCAAGTCTCACCAATATTACCAACCTTTGAAGAAGATATGTGATATGTAAGCGCAGACATAAGTAGAAAGTAAAAATTATAGTCTTTTTCTTAACTAATATAGCTACACCTTTAATTACATTTAGCTGCTTGATAAAAGACCATTGCAATTGTGGAGAGTTGCGCGTTGTCACAAACTGGATTAAAACCAAACTGACATAATATAATCAATTTAATTAATTTACGTGACTAAAGACAGTATGGCAAATGTTATAGCCTATATTTATATATATTATTTATTGATATGCAATTCCATTATATATTGCTCAAAATTTGTCTAATTTTGCGTCAAAACCTCCAGTTATCTCTTAACTGGAGCTTTGTCACTGTCATGGCTCCATGTTATGCCCCCTGCCCACGGTTTATTGCCTAATGACCCTACATATTTGTTAAGCCCTACATACTATAATCTATCTGCTGGCTTCCTTCTCCCCCATCCATAAACTGATAAGTATATAGAAAAATTCAGATTGATGAAGAAGGCAAAAAGCATTCTATTTATTGCCTAGTTTAAGAATTTATAAGTAAGCAAGTCTAAATTAACTTCTAGTTAATATTCTGCGTCTTATATAAAAATATTATCCATACAAAGTTAGAATTGCTGTTACCGTGATTAGCGATACAGTAATTATTCAGCAAGTCGTAATTACTAAGATTAATCTATTTTAGAAAGCTTTTTGTTCTTTATATATTATTCACCCTTAAAGACCACGAATGGTTAAAATTCAAAATGATATGTGTTATCATATATTGTCCATATATTACTATTCTTAAATGTTTTGATATGTGATGATATTAACCAGTACATATAAGAACAAACTTACTGTATTTCCCTGAAACGAATTTCATGTGGCTCACGCTCACGAAATGGACGGGGCCCAGCCAACATGGCCTTGATTGTGCCTGAGATAAGTGCGTATTCCTTAAGGATAATGAAGCTATGCCCATCACCTGAAACTATTTTTAGATAAGGAGCATTTGGTCCTTCAATACCACGGTAAATTTTAGGAATCACTATAGGGACAGGCTCAGGTTCAGGTACTGGTGTAAGTCTAGGCGCAGGTGCAGCTTCAGCTTCAGCTTCAGCAGCAGCAGGCTCAGCAGTAGCAGGCTCAGTAACAGCAGGTGCAGCAGCAGCAGGCTCAGTAGCCGCTGGCTCAGCAGCAGCAGGTGTTGGTGCCACTTCCGCGTTAGCTTCCATTGCTCTAATTCCTCACTTACAAAGAGCTATAATTAAAAATATGCATTTTATATAAGGTAATTAAATAAAACTGTACTCATCTCCACGTTGAATATTGACGAAGATATAGTATTTAAATTTTTACGTGACAGTTTCGAGTATTCCTAATTACTCCTCATCAGTGGTCTTAGGATATATTCGAATTTTTTTTTTTTGTTAATTAGTTTATAGTCCGCATATAATTTGTTTGAACTGCAAGTGCCAGGAAGTTTATATACGGATTATAAACTAATTAAAAAATTCGAATATTTCTTAAGACTACTGATGATGAGTATTTGGCAGTACTAGAAACATCGTTGTATGGTCTAACGTTCTAACTTTTAAATAGTTAGTCACTTTCGATAAGAAAAAATAAACAGCTATATATTTTATTTATATTCCACTGAAAGTAAAACTTACCTTCTGTGTCTCAAGAAAATATCGATTAAAACAGTAAAGGGTTTAGCTCTATTCCCTTTTGTTTACAATAATTCTGTAAGCAATTCCTTAATTGTTGCTGTTGAATGTTGATAACGATTGTTAAGAAATTGAATTGAATTTGATATAATTTTTTATATCCAATACAATTATATATACATTTTTTTTTTATTGACAATAATTTCAAAGAATAATTGAATAAAATCTTTTTCTTTATTCCATTGCGTTCTCAGGGGAACATTTGATCGTAACGAACCTTTTCCAACTGTCACGATTTCTTGGCAGAGTTTTAATTTCTCCAAAAGTTTTTGACAGGTCTTCTGTTTCCTTGAGGATTTCACGTTAACGCTTGTTTCCAGATTTCGTTTGGAGACTCTATCAATGTGTACCCGATCCATTGCCATTTACGCTTTTTAATTTAATTTGCGTTAGCAAGTAGACGGCATGTTGACCATAGTCCCGGGTCACCAAATTTTTGTAATTAAATTAGTGAGGTTGCTTCTTTGGTTAATTATAATTGTATTCACCCATCAGATTATCTACTGACAGAAAAAGTTCTGTATAGAAATAAAAAAATCTTTAACAATATCTACTCTGCCTTAAAACTTCAATCCAAAAAAACGAACAAAGTGGGTCAGCACAATTTCTCATAAAGATCATATGCGTCTCTACTAAGATTAAGGAGAGAGATAAATGTTTATGGTTTTTTAAAAATATAACAAAACTAAATATTATTCATGTGAGTAAGATCACAAAAAAATTCACTCCAAGATATTTTCATCAAAAATGTTTATTGAAAACTTAAAAATATTTTCTACAAATTTTATTTAGCAATAATAATAGTTAAGTTACTTTGTAATTATATACAAATAAAACATATATTAAATTTAGTCTCGAAATTTTTGAAAATTTTACAATTTATATTATAATTCATCGTCCACAAGTCTCCTTCATTACTTAGCAATCTAAGAAATTGGCAGCCATTAGTAAATCTATTGCAATCTCCGGTTCAATTGGGAATTCAGGAATATTAGATGTACAATTAGTGAAGTTGATTTTGTATTGAAAATAACTGCAAATCTTATGTAAAACATGAGATCTATAAAATAATAAAAGAAAACATAATTATGAGGTAAATACAGATAAAATATTAAAATTTATTTAATAAGTAGGGTGTATAAGTCTAATGTCAAACAAAATTTTTAAAATACTTCTGAATTTTTATATATTAGTAACCAAACCTTCAGTTATCTGCTAACTGTAGCTTTGGCTATTGACCCATGTCCACAGTGTATTGTCTAATAACAATTGACAACTGATTGATGAGAATGGCAGAACGTCAGTCAGACAATTGCATAATTAAAGGTCTGGAGGCCAACATAAATGGAAAAATGGATTGAACATAATATATAAAAAATATGTGTTTAAGCACTAAAACTGCAATCTGCATTGGTCTTCACCAATAACAATCTATGAAGCCGGAATAAGGATTGTCGAAAATTATGACGTATTAATGATTGAATCCTTTAAATTGTTTCGTCAAGAAGTATTAAAAATTATATGATATGCTCGTAGGATCAACATCTCCGTGTTCGAAGAACGTAACTTTAAAACTTTGTAACAATTAATCATAGATGGTCAAGTAAGCGGTAATGGTTGGTAAAAAATTGCGATCATTGTTTAGAGAAATGTTAAGCGAAACAATCCAGATATCGAACAACTTCATAAACCACAACTAATGACATGCAGTAGTAATGGTCAATAATAAGAATTGAAAAAGGAAGATATGTAGGCGCTAAGATCATAAGCAGATTTCTATGGAAACTGCTTGACTACTATCTGATATAGATATCTAATTAATTAAATATTTTTATTGATACAGATAACTATTAATCTAACCCAGTATAGTATGGTTTTAAGTTAAAGTAGAAAATAGACAGTACAGCTGATGCTTTCGTAATAATAAATACAGGGTTTTCAACCATAACTCTTAAATATTAATCTAACCTAGTATAGTATCGTTTTTAGTTTAAGAAGAAAACAGCTATTGCCATTGTAATAATAAATACAGGGTTTACTACTAGTAGGTACTTTTTTCTTAATACATTAATACTCAAGTTGTTTATAATTAATCTGTCAAGTTTCTAATCTTATGCTCAAGAAGCAATTAAAAATTATTCATGTACTCATATATGTATGTCCAAAGGAAAATACCAAGTTTACTTTAATCTAACTACTAGTTACTTTAATCTAACTAGTTAATAAAGAAGATTCGTGCCTGTGGAACAGAACTGTATTTATATCGGTTGGAGGGTTCAGACAAAATGTTGGTTTGACTGTGTTCACTTCGGTGGAGGATTCAGATAAAATGCTGGTTCGACTATACTTTTGTTTACCATACAATCGTGAAAGATTTAAATGAACATTATTTAAAAAAGACTTACTCTATTTCCTTAAACTGTATTTGGTTTGGCTCATGCTCAGCAAACTGATCCGGTCCAGACAATATGGCGGTGATAGTACCTGAGGTGAAAGCATGATCTTTTCGGATAATAAAGCTATGGCCATCAGCTGAAATTAGTTCCACATAAGCGGCATCGGGTCCTTCGATTCCACCATAAAATCTAGGAGGTGAGTCTGTAGCATTTGGATCAACTGTTAAGTCAGTCACGATTACATTCATTTCCGTTATCTAGTATTTACGAGCTTATGTAAAAGTCCTTATGTAAAATTCGAAATAAATAAAGTCACATTATAAATAAGGTATTTGCTGTGAAGTGGAAGTTACTTTTAAAATTAGTACTTAAAAATTATTAATTTAGTTTAGTATTTATAATGTTAATACTAAGTATTACTGTAGTTTTATAATATTTGTAAATATTCACTCTGTTAATTGCGGATGTACGGTTATTAAAATAAAAATTAATAGATTTTTTGAGCTTAATTATATAAATCAAATCTTGATAAAATCCTAATGAGCATATCAAAGATAAAATAATTAAGACAATCTTTATGGATTGCGCCAACTTATACGTATATCTTATATACATTTATCTTTATACAATATATATTATTTACATAAGAACTTACGTTTTATGTCTAAAATATTTTCAATAAATATTTTAAGTTAAAGATCCAAGAGTGTGAGCCTTACTTTATTTACTAGCCATTCTTTAACAAAAGAATTACTAAATTTTTATAATAAAGAATAAAATTTTTGACATAAACTGTAAAGATAAATAAATAATATATCTTAATAAAGACAAAAATACACTATATTTTTTTTTATTACTTTTATTTACTTAATAAGTTACCGAAATATGTTAAGATTAAAAGCCTACAACATTCAGAATGGCAAAAATCTACCATCAAACAATGTCACTGATTAAGATTTTGATAAAAATATATATATTATATATTATACAATACATATATTTTTGTACTTTGTCATTACATGCGAAGTACAATATCAATCAAATGTCCTTCATCAAACATCTAATAGTACTAACTCTTAGTAGGATAATATTTGGTGATTTGTTGGCAAGAACTTCGCCATAACTAGTTGGATGCTCGCTGAGAGTTTAAGATTTGTCTACTCACAGACGACCTTTTGTGTGTCCCCATAAAAACACAAGTAATTCCAAAATTTTTTAAAACCACTACTTCATGCAAAGGAGCTAGATGTCATCCATTGTTTATTTAATTGATCTACCAAACTGCATTAGTTAGTTCTAATTAGATGCCATGTGTAAATTTTTCCATCGGTTTATAACAATGAAAGAAACTTGATTTTATGACAACTCCAGAATTGTGTCGGCAAGCAGCTAAGTTCCCACTCCAGAGTTGAGTCGGCAATCAGCTTTGTGGACAATAGTTGGCGAACCGTGCTTTAAGCGTAAAAAATTTAACAGACAGCTGATATGATTATACGATCCGTATCTTGAGATGCGTATGAAATTTTGTTTATCGATTTTCGACCTTTGAAAAGGGTAGACCATTAATACTACTTGGCCCCACTGGCGCCTTTAAAGGCGAAAATCGCGAACCAATGACACCATATAATGACGAAAAACTTCTGTTTCGTCAAGACAATGCACCGTGTCACAAATCGTTGGCTCCCGTGGCCAAATTACACGAATCACACTTCCAACTACTCTTGCGCCCACCATATTTGCCATATTTGGCACCCAGCAATTACTACTTATTTACAGAGGTCTTATAAATACTCAGGGGAAAAAGATTTATCTTCGATGAAAAGGTCATCTCTAAAACTGAGGCGTATTTTAAGATCAAAAATGAATTCTGCCAGAGAGATATCGAAATCTGAAAGAAGCTTCAGAAAAATTGTATTACTCTTGAAGAAGATTAATTTGGTGAATAAAATTGGATTTTGTAAAAAAGTTGTTATGTCATTAGTTGTTTTATAGATTTATAAATGTAAACCCCAATACATTGTCAAGAGAAACTGTCAATTTATATGTAACATTAGATTAGATTAGATTTTAAGGTAGGTTGGGAACTTGTCACCACGTCACAGCATCCTTTGAGGATTATTGTGACATACCCACTTCATTTCCATAGACAAGTAGCAGTTAAGAGCGTCATTATGTCCTTTGGAGAGACATAATTTTGTAATAAGTGGATAAGCAGTGGATAAATACCGAATCTGAGTCTGGTGAGACTATGCAGCATACTCATATGTCATTCACATATAGAATAATTTTTATAAATTCTTCAATTGATTTTTATAAAGTTGTGCCAACTTTCAATAACTTTTATATATTTTATTGTTAGTTGTTATTCCTATTTTGTTATATAAATCCCAAAGACCATTTAGTTATACACAAAAAAATCATTGTATGTATATATATGTATGTATATATTTAATCAAATTATTAAAACTAACAGAAAAATATTACAATAATATATTTTTTCACAAATTTTACATTAAGTACAAAAAAGAAGTTCATCACGTTTTAACTTTCAAGCAATTGGAAAGGACATTAACCTTTAAATTTTCAGAATCCGGCAATCCATGCAGTCATGGTTGCAGGATCGATCCACTGATTAGTTTCAACAATTAACGAATTTGGAAATAGATTCAATCTGAAAAAGAGACAAACGTCGATTTCTCTGCAGCATGCATGCCCAACTTTTATGTTTCCACCCTCCGTGAGCACGTACATAGATATTTCTTTTAAATCGGGCTCTGGTGCTCCCATAATTACCACAAGCAGTGCTGCAGGTTCAAAGTTTTGTCCAATCACCCTAACTAAACTTCCAAAATTTCCGCCATAAAAGAGTCGTTCTGCATCTGCTAACGGTAGCTGAGCTACTTCGTCGGTTGTGATGATGTGATGTCGCGTTCCGTGATTCATGGCGTTGTGATGAAAGATGAAGTAGTCAAAACTTTACAATTTCAATAGACTTCCAGTTACAAATAATTTTCTAAAGCCTGCATACAAATACTAAATATTAAACTGAATGTAATATTTTAAAATTTTATTTAATTCTATGTACATATTTTCATATATATTTACGATTGCTTTGTTATTTCTTTCAAAATTCTTAATCATATATGTGTACAATTAAGTGTTGTTGTGATTTCTTGAGTTAGTGCTCTTGCGTACTTTTACTCTTTTGTGGCTGGGAGGCTTATCCCTGCCCCACACTAGGCTTTAACTATACTGGAGTTCATGTAGTTTATTTATCGTTTAACAGATGACGAATCGTAAGTCAGCATATCTTCCTGTGGGGGTGGACATGAGGCTTGTTAGTGCGGAGTTGGGGAGCGTATCAACTTTTGTAAATAATCTTAATGCTCTGTCCCTGATATATTTTTTTTATGAGTCGATCCTTAGATCTCTGTGCATGTCTGTTGTTCTAATATACTATGGAATCTTAAATTGTCTTCTTATAGCCGGGTTTTGTGCTATCTGTAGTTGCTTTATGGCAGTATTTGAGGCTTTGCTGTATGTAACACATCCGTACAGTAGTGCTGGCCTGATTATTTGAGTATATAGTAACTTTCTATTTTTGAGGTTGAAGTGATTATTATTGAACAGTGGCTTTAGAAGAAATAGAATTTTAGAACAGCTTTTCCGTTTGCATCACATCACCCCAAACACATGCACGCGATTTTTCAGTAAAAAAAAGGAACACTTCACTCAAATTTTTCTTTTTTACTTCTTATTCAGATTAATCAATAAATTCTACTTAAAAAAAAAAATATTTCCAGTGTGTTATTCCTTTTAGAAGTAATTAAAAAAAATTAATTTATTAGGCGTCCTTCACGTTACTCATACGCACTGTAATACCATTAAATCAATTTTCCGAGTAAAATGACACAAAAATGTTTATTTTTTTAATACATCTTTCATCACAACGTCATGAATCACTTTATGTTGATCGGAATCCGAAAGATCCTCAAATAAGATTTCACATAATAATGAAAACATAATAATGAATAACATAATTTAGAGAAAGACATTCCTCCTAACCAGAACAGAGCGATTGTCGCAGACAGATTATCTGAGAGGATATTGCAGTCGGCGTTACCATCTCAACAAGACAAGACTATTTAAGATAACAAAGTATCGTTTCTTCGTAAAAGACAAGAAATCTGATTACATTCTTAACAATTACTCAAATGATTCCGGAAAAAAGATACATTGTATCGTACTTAACAGTCTACACTGACTTCATTTAGTTAATTTCTTGTTCTTTTTTATTTTAATTTATTGTATTATGGTATATATTTTCCTTCATTTTAATTCAATTTATTTTTACTTTATTTAATTTTTTTTTGTTTTTTAATTTTATATTATAACATTTTATTTTATATTATTTTTTATTTTATTTTATTCTACTTTATTAATACTATTATTTTTTTTTATTATTAATGTATCTTTTCTATATTATTTTATTATGTTATATTTCATTAAAACTTAATATAACCGCGCCTTAAGTCAATTATTTAACTACTCAAATTATAAATAATCACACTTACTTAGTTATTGTTAAAATTTTTGTTTATATTTTAAAAAAATATTTTAATACAAATATTTCGGAATACTTCGTAAACCATCTTCCATATACATATCGAAAGAAATACTTTATTTTATATATTATATATTTATATATATATATTATTTTTCAAATTTTTTTCTTAATTTTTTTGTGCGATTTAATTTTTTTTGATTATTTTTTAATTATATTATAATATATTATTTTATTTTATTTTGTCTTATCTTATTATATATTATTCAATGTTATTTTAGTTTATTTAATTATATTTAATATTATTTTACTTAATTTATAATTAAATTAAATAAAATTTTTTTGTATTACCTTATTTTATATCACATTTTTTTATTCCATTTTATTTTATTTTATTTAATTATATTTTTTATTTTATTTTGTATTATCTTATACTAATTTAAATATATTATTTTATTATATATATTATATTATTTTATTTTATTTGTTTTTTATTTTATTTTATTTTATTTTATTTTATTTTATTTTATTTTATTTTATTTTATTTTATTTTATTCTACTTCATTTTATTCTAAATAATTTTTTTTTATTTTTGTACCATGTTGAAGATTGATGCAATGTTGGTTGGAATAGACCTCGTTTCCGTTTCTACATTATTTGATGTTAATATGTATTTTTGTTATTGCTTTCTTGGACTATACTATATCTATTTGTAGCTAATTCAATGATGATTTTGCTTTGATATTTGCAAAGTTGAGAAAGATATCCGTATTTACCCTATTTTTCTGTCATTAAAGTAGATTATAAAACTTTTTGCTAATAAAGTTTATATAGTTATATAATAATTTTTCCCTGTTTTTAGAGATCAGGTCTTTAATTATATGACACTCAATGCTAGAAAGTTCCACCTTCGTTGTCATATGATCTAGGAACCAGCATTGACAAATTTACAATTGATATTATTCTATTAACTATAGGTCAGTTGAATGTAGAGACATTTGCGTTTAAACTCATTATACCATCGTTTTACAATTGGAAAAAGTGAGGTTTCATTCCCAAAAGTAGAACTGAGTTTATCGATACATTTAGGCCTTGATGATCAATAACGAAAATCATATTAAATCACGCACGACCACATTCCTTGTCTAATACGTAACTTTTTGTTTCTTGTGTACGAGACAAAATTTAATAGATCATACAAA